CTTGCCGTATAGTTTATTAGGTTCTTTTTTAATTATTAAACCAAAAAGTGTATTATTAAAGAACAATAGATATATTATATCTAAGAATATGTATTACTTAAATATTATCTCCAGTAAAAAAAGTGAAGAACCAATATAAGAATAAAATTATTTGTTGTAATATAAAGCAATAAAGAAATCATAAGCAATGATCCTAATCAATAACTCTAAACATATAAAGATTTTGGTAAAATTGTATACATCAACCTATCATTATAAATAAACAAATACATGTATATTATTTTAAAAAATCAAATTTATTAATCTAAATCTACTTAAAAATTCGCTATAAGAAATTTATAATAAAAATGTTTCTTATGCGAATCTTTTAGCATTTTTATCTGTTATACGGTAGGTACGTACGTACGTCGTAACTAAAATCAGCACACCGTGTTATATAGTTAGCATAGCGACAGGTTCAGGATAATTTTAGCAGACCATAACTATGATAACGACAATAATGTTATCATTATATTTGTTGGGACACATAAATTATATTGATTGGAGATTAAATCATATGTGAATTTGGAAGTTAATTAGTATAAAAATCCCAGTATATTCGAGCAATGACGACGATCCCTAATTGCGTGTTAAATGTCAAACATGTGTTTAAGAAATATCTTTACATTTTGAGATATAGGTAAATCTCCTTTCTTAAACATCAAACGCAAAACAAAATGCGAATTTCCGAGAACTCTACCTGTTTTAAAGATGATGGTACCGCAACTTCGTATGACCTGTCTGTTTGAAATTAATTATATACGATTTACACGTGCTTGTTTGAATAAAGGGTCATACAATTAGTTGCAAATATAAAAAATTCTAGCATTTCTTAAAAATATGACCATGATTTTCTGATTTAATGTATAAATCAACTCAAAAGTTCAAGTTTCATTGAAATAAATCGATGAATCTTTCTTTGGCGACTCTAAAATGTAAATAAATTTAAGTTTTGAGAATTATTAACGAAATAATAATAATAATAATAATATATAACGTACCGCCGAGTTGCTTCCTGAAGAGTTTCGGATGGGTTTTTTACAGTATTAGCACTAGCGCCAAGTCCTTTAGTTCCTTCATTAGTCACAAGTTGTACAGGATCCAAAATTCCTGTACCATTACACCCTAAGCCTTGTCCTTCCTTCCAACCCATTTTTTGTAAAAGTTTATTTCCTCTATTTTCAGACCCAATCTTGGTCTGCACATTTACCTCTATTTCAGAATTTATACGAGAGATATCCTCCCAATCTTTTCTTATCGGACTATTATCAGGATGAATCTCCCTTCTTATTGCTGCCCGATCGACGTATTTCGTATGTTTAGGCTTAACACTCGGTTGACCCATGTATTTTCGTTTCAACCGATTTAATTCTTCACGACGCTGAAATTCCAAAAGTTCTTTTTGTGTTGCATTAATATTATTACTAGTGCCATCGAACCCTATATCTCCTTCCGAACCTTTGTGTTTAATTTTATTATGATTAGCATTCCCATCGAGCTTTTGTGATATGTCAATCATCTTTCCTTCAGTTACAGTGCAAACATCACAAGTCCATTGTTTATGCAAGTGTACTTGAAACTTGGTGCTCCCAACTACCAACTCATCCAAATGACATAATTGATGAGGCTTTGAGCTCATCTTACTTTCTGATAATCGTTTTGAATTAACAAATGTACCATTCTGTGACCCAATGTCAACAATAAAAAATGTATCTAAGGTTGTGACAGATGATGGATCATCATCATCAGATTTAGCATCAGCAGCAGTGGATGAAGAACAATATATTTGACAATGATGCTTTGAAGTGGGCATTTCAGCTAAACGAAGTCGTCGATCATCCCACCTATCTCTTCCCATCGAAATTCCATTCGCATCAACTAGTACTAAATGACCAGATTTAAGAATCCCAGATTCCATAACCACTAATCTGAGAGTCGCATCACTACCAGGTTCACCCTGATCTATTGCAGAATCTTCATTACTAACGGGAGATGTGTAAACGATAGATGATGGATCGACAGGAGTGTAAGTCTGAGTAGATTCGTCATATGCTGAATAGACACCAGAATACACATCGAACCATATATTGCTTTCTGGATGGAAAAAATATTGTGCTTCAGAAGTTTTGACATAGCCTTGTGGAGGTGAAAAAATACGCGTATTTTGTTCTTCGGATTTGCCAACGTGGTGTGAAACCGAATCGACATCAGATATATTTTTGTATTTTTGATCAGGTTCGTTAATTATGTTATCAATTGCCGGTAAAGAAGTTACCCCGCATGTTTCCGAATCAGATAACTGTCCTTCCTCGCGTGCACCATCTGTGGCATCTTCAGAGCCATGCTCTTTATTTGAAATAGATGTTGATTCATTAGTTCTGCTTTTCTCCGGATCACATGCAGAATTACTGTCAAAGTACATCCATTCTTGATTATGGCTGTCCCACAGTGCATATGTTTGTGCAGATCTGCTGTAATAGTATCCACTATTTTCATCGAAAACCCAATCTTCCGAAGTTTCCTCGCGAATCTTTAAGTCTTCATAAGCCTGGAGTTCAGCCTCGAAAGTCTTGTTAATTCCTGATAGTTTCGTTTCCTGTCCAGCAGAATGGGTACTTATCGAATTTGCTTGCGCTTCGCGAGGTCTGGTTAAAATTTTATAGTCATACGGAGCATCCTCCATATTTACCGAAGGGTTGCGAGCCCGATCGTGATCAGTTTCCAATTATTTCGGATTTAGTGGTGGTGACAGTGGTGAAGTTTGTTAGTAAATAAGTAATTTAACAAAAAAAATAAATCGAAAATTAGCCTAATTTGATCAAATGATTTATTGATCTGTAACTGATTATCCAGATACGGTAAAATATAAGACTGTATAGTTCAATCGTTCAGTCGTTACACTCCATTAATTTTAACTTTAAATTTCGCACTTAATCAAATCATTTCTTCCCAATGGATGATCCTGAACTTGAAGCTATTCGTCAGGCTAGGATACGCGAGTTGCAAGCTACTGCTGCTGCTGTAAGAACTTAATAATCAAGACAACTTATGCGATCCAAAAAAAAAGGCGCAAAGTTCTAACTCTATTCATTCATACATAACAGGGGGGTGTTTCAAAGTCTTCAGAAGATGATGGCGAAAAGAAACGGTAACAATTACCCGTATTGAGCTGATCGTTGTAATATATATATATACGTAAAAAATCCAAATCTTTAAAAAATGCTAAGATTTTTTAGCTGGCAAATTTTTCAGACAACAGGAAGAGACGAGGCAAACATTGGTATGACATTATTATAGACATGTTGACATATCTTTTTTAATAATAATATTTATATAATCGGTGTGTACCTTATTCCAACAGTTGACACAAATTCTTGACAATGAGGCTCGAGAGAGACGTAAGTTGTTGAATTTTTAGCGTAGGAACATAATTTCAAATATTAGCAATAAAATTTTACTTCGAATTAAGATAATCCTTTACTTTTAGTCGCAAGAATTTCTATTGTAAAAGCTGAAAAAGCTCGAGCCGTTGAAGATCTTCTGATTCGAATGGCACAATCTGGACAATTACGTGGAAAAGTAAGCGAATCACAATTGATCGATCTTTTGCAACAAATCAACCAACAGCAAAAGCCAGAGAAAAAGATTGTGGTATTTTCTCATTTTATATTAAATTATCCTAAAATAATAAAAAAACCATTATTAATTTTGCTTTACAAAAATTTGTTTCCGAAGTATAATCGAAATCGAAGAAAATTTGGAGAAGACTCTGATTAATGCTTGGATTCGGATATCTAATCAGATTTCCGGATAGGCATCCTACTTTGTATTTTTTTTTTTAATTCAGACTTATGATCATCTTCTACAATTTTTTTTAGCGAAATTTGATTTAATAAAAGAGTATACGTAATTGAACATTATAAAACTGTTCTTTTATGTAATTCGAAGTTTAAATTATAATTTATTGGATGCATTCCCCAAAAAGTAGAGGTCCAATCCAGATAAACCCATCATCCGTTTATCCTTATCTGATTTATTCGGATATCCATTTACTGTTGATATCCAGATAATCTGACAGATATTCGGATAATTATCCGGATATCAATAGTAAATGGATAGTATATAAATAGATATCCGAATAAATTCAGATCCGGATATCTGATAATTATCCGGATAAACGCTAACTTGATTGGAACTCTACTAAAAAGTCAATATATTGTCCAGTAAGAATAACATGAAATCTCGAGGACAGGTTTTTCCTTGGCGGCACCCAAATAGTCTTTGATTTACGTATGATTTTTGTCACATGCTTCTTATGTTGCGAAGCAACAGATAAAATTTGGACAATATAGTACCAGAGAGAAATATGAGATACGTACATTCTTGGTCTTTTTGAATAAATATTGATATATTACTTATTTGTCATATATAGCTTAAGTGTTGTTAATTTGTTTCCAGTGGTTTTTACGCCTTCTACGTAGTAAATCTTTTAATAGTAAGGTTCCAGTTATATTAATATTTATCCGGCAGGTACTATGTAAATTATTTCCGCAAATTTTTATGTGATAAATTCTTATTGATTTTAATATAAAATCTGCGGAAGTAATATAAAATTCTTTCCGTAAGTGTATACGTCATACCTGCCAGATAAACTAGTTATCTGGCATGATATACGGATCATGGACATCGACAGTATAATTGCAACGCACAAGGCATTCGGCCACACGCTTTTGCTATTATCCTGCCGATACCCATGTATCCGTCAAATCATGCCAAATAACAAGAAATAATTTTGACTCTCTGACAACACTAGCCAATCTGATAATACGGATTAAATCAAGGTGGATCCATTGAGAAAAAAGTAGAATATATATATATATTAGTTAGGTTTGGGTTGAACTTAAAAGTAAAATTGCATAGTATGTATTTTCGTAACCGAATAATTCCCACGAGATAAAGTATCATTCAGGATTAGCTACTTTATCCACTTTGTTAATTGTCTACATCATGGTTAAAAGAACACACGAAATTTCGGGATAAAAATCGAATTAATAATATATTTCATAAGTTAGGTAATCAAACGTAAAAGACAGGTCAGAAAATTTTTGGGAGCAAGTCGATAATTGATAATAAGATAATGTTATATTTTAAAAAGGATCAATGATAGTTAATATTATGATTTGATATTTTGAGATATAAATAATACATATCAACATAAAATTGCTAACAAAAAAAAAAAATTTACTAAGCTGCTCAAATATAACAAATATATTATTCGGATCCTAACGAAATATGTTGTAGGATAACTAATATCCTAAAATTGCTAGTGAAAGACTCACCCCCAATGGAACTGAAAGGTTATCTGTTCCCCATGGACTCAAAGATTCTAAAGCAGTACCAACAGATGCAGAAATAAGTGCTCCTGTAAAATATTCAGTAGTAGTTAATTCCGGTGGAGACATTAACCACCAAAAGAATGGAACCATTACTAAAGTCACAATAAAAAATGCCAGTGATCCTTCATAAGTACGTCGACTTCCTTCAGCTCCAATCAATTGATAACCATTTCTTCCATACGTCTTTCCAATAACACTGGCCATCGCGTCACCAAATGTCATCGCAATGATTCCAGCTTAAAATTTTTTCACACTTTGATTCAGAATGGCAGAATATTTATGATAAGAAATCAGTATCGTTAAATACTTACCAACCGCAATATATTCGTGACCCCTAGGAAATCCTTTTTCCCAACCTTCATGAAACCACCATAATAAGAAAGTAACTGAAAAAGCAAAGTATACAGTCCCTAGTGTCGCACCTTCTTGTGGATCTATTAATAAATCATTAATATTCGTACCTGTAAAATCCTCTACAACAACAAAAATTAATATCAAATTCTTACCCATTGATTTAAATAATTTAAGTCGTAAAAAAAAGAAGTTCAATAGCACAAAAGAGCTTGTCAAAAGTATTACATATTCCCATTGTTCAAATAAATATAATAAACAGAACATATAAGTTCCTGCAAACACATGGATTATTTTACGGGAAATGAAAAGAGGAATATTAAAACTTCTCGAAACAATTTCCACAATAAAAACAACGCATAAAGTAAGTATATAAGATAGTGCGAGGCTTGTCAGCGTGCCCCAAGTTGGAGAAGGTAAAAAACTCATCTTTTCCGGTTTTGGTTCCTTAATTGATATATTTAATTACCCATATATAGTATTATTTATATTACAAACTTGATTTATGCGGCAAATATTTGGCGTAGCGGAACGATGAGAGTCCTTTTTCGGCACAGCTGATCCTGACAAATTAATGATAATCATTCAGTGTTAATCCGTCCTAACCGGTCCCATCGTCCATCGACCGAGATGATTTAACAAATTACTAGTTCTAGAGAAATATAATCGCTTACTTCCAATAAATAACTTACCTTGAAAATGCTCTAAGAAGAAGTTTTATTAATAACTTTTTTAAAAAAATTACCTTAAAAACTGGAAATTCGCTTGGGACCGATTCCAATCAAATCAGTCCTAGGACCGATTTGGTTAGAATCGGTCCTAAGCAAATTGCCAGTTTTTAAGCATTTTCAAGGTATTACTTATTGGAAGTAAGTGATTATACTTCTCTAGAACTAGTAATTTGTTAAATCATCTCAGGACCGGTAGGGACCGGTTAGGACTGATTAACACCCCTATTCAGTTTCGCGTGGAAAAATATTCATACTTATGTAATTGAGAATGGCTAATCGTGATCTATTACCAGTAATTTTGAACGAATGCTACAACTAGAGGTATTACCCGGATCACAGGTCGAAAATTATCTAACCCGGGTCAAACGGGTCAGGATTTAAAATAGGCAAAATTTACTAAAATAATATTTTAATGTGTATTATGTATTGTACCTATATAATCATATTGATAGATTACAATTTTACTAAAGCTCTTACCAAGACAGTACGGGACAGTTTCTTGGTAGGTCATGAGTCAAAAATCAGATCAAATAGTATGGATAAAGACTAATAAATTCGGATTGCAATTAAGGTCGAAGAAATTTTTGATACCATAAGTGTGAAATAATGCTCATGAATATTATTTTGAAAATCAAATTCTTCAAAAATGGGTTGTGGCCTTGAATTAGCATCTATTAACATTCTGAATTAATGCGCAATAGTATATAATTATTGTTGAAAAATGATTTATAGCTAATTTTTCATAAGTGCATTCTTTATATAAGAGATATGTATTACTTCATTAATGCTTGTTTCGTAGACATAACATTTACCAACAAAAATTCACCAACATGTTTATTTCACTGACACTTATTTCGCAGACAAGTTTATTTTATTGACAATTTATTTCACAGAAGCTCATTTCATAGACAAATTTTTTTTTATAAACTCCACTAACCTTAATTCTAATTCTAATCTGGCCTTAATGACAATGACCAGAATTAATTTGTCAGTGAAATAAGTTTCAGTAAAATAAACTATTAGTAAAATGGAAAATAAATATTGGTGAAATAACATGTTGGTGAATTATTGTTGCTGAAATATTATTTCTATAAAACGAGTATTGGTGAAGTGAGCTAAACCATTATATAAGTACACTTTATATGGATTTTCTTTTTATAAGTGCACTTCACATATAGATGCTCATCAATAGAAAAGAGGTAAAAAGTTTCTATGTAAAAGTTTTTTAAACTTTGAATTAAAATATTTTAATAACTACTAAACTAAATTTGATATATTTTAATTATATATAGCTATAAAATTAAATAAAAATATTTTATTTAATTTGATTTAGTAGTTATTGAACTATTTTAATTTAAAATTTAAAAAAAAGTATGGTGCCGGAAGCCTTAACTCGCCAGTCACGTGACCATGTTTCAAATTCGTGTATGCAGTGTAACATATAATAGCCAATCATATTGCATAATCTTCTTGCTTTTTGTTTCGTAAAACCCTAATATCATTCGATAAAGTTACACTCACAATGAAACTTTGGATAGCATTCAAAAATGTGCCCTGCATTAATTACAGCTTCTTCTAACAGGGACCATTGTTCAAGAAAATCGGGCTGCAATGACATGATTCTTTGTGCGTAGCAATTCAACCTTTCTGGGCTATTATCAGTACATTTTCCAGAATATTTTTTGCATACTAGCAGAACCTTTCCTGCAGGCCAAAGTTTTCGCTCTTCAAGCACTTGCCTCAAACCTTTTTGCTTGCCTCTTAACTCCTCCTTATGATAATCATTTGGAAATACCATTAGTTGCACACATTTTTTCTGGTTTTATCAATAAACCAACCATTTCGTATCACTGGTTGTTTTCCTCCAGAACTCAAGTTCATCCTTTTTGCGATTAGTGCATTCTCTGCCATAGTGTTATGGTTAGTAGATTAATCGAAGCAAAACACACTGATACACCCAGGGTGCAATATTTCAAATACCGGGATTACTTTATTCACAAGCTGGTCAAGCATATGCTCCGCCTTCCAATATCCATCCACCTAAACAGAACAAATCACAAATGTTTCTTTATCTGGATTTTCATACAGCTGTTGGTCAAATAGGCATAGTAGTCCGTGGCAAGGACACAAAAAAGCAGAGACCATTATAGAACATTCCAGATGTTTTGGGCGCAAAATATTTTTGTCTTTCTGAATCCAAATTCGTCGCCGCCTATCATTAGCATAGAAATAACACTCATCATGTGTTATTTGAACGTATTCTTTCTCCCCTAAATTGAGCTAAGGTTCTAATACAAATTTTAATAACTCACCAACAAAATCTTTCATGTTTTTTTTATACACGAATATTCTCTTTACCCATTTATTCCTATACGCCACCACATCTGGTCTCTCATGGCCATCAAAGTAAATACCCTTTCTTCTCTCATTATATTTAAAACCCCACGAATATATATAATTTCTACACATCCTCTCTGATATAGTGTCTTTTTTGATATGGCCAATCAATTTTGAAAATAGTGTATCCTCAATATATGCTTTCAAATTACTAGGCATATGTACTTCCAGTTTTTGTTGCCTTAACCACTCTTTACAATTTTCACTAAAATCCTCATCATCAATCAAGCTTTCAAGTTTGGTATGTTTACCTTGGTGATAAGGAAGAAGCTCCCCTGTCTTTATGTAATGATTTCCCTATATCCGAACACATTTAGCCATATAACTCTCTTTATTCCATATGAAATGTGCAATTTGGTTAGCAGTATCCATTTTAACTTGTCCTTCTAACAATAATTGTATATATTGATGTATACTAAGAAAACGTAAATGATCATATATAGAGGTCTTATCCAGTCAAAAAATTTGTATTCGAATATTCATTTGTTCAATACTTTTAATATTCGAATATTCATTGAAAAATTTTAAATGAATATTCGAATATTCATTGAATATTCATCGAATATTGTATATACTATAAAACAATTTTATACTTTATTAATAC